CCGAGGTCGTTGGCACTGCCTCAGGACGTATCATCTGCACCAAGAGGACAAGCTGCCTCTCCACTCGGGTCCGACCCTGCTCTAACGACTCGAGGAGAGTATTCATCTTCTGCGCAGTTTTCGAAGACACTTTACCTCCTGAAGTAGCTCGACATGAGCTTGTGCCGGTACACCGGCCTCCTCCGGCATTTCTCGATGAGCAGGGGAACCTTCAGTTCCATGTGGAACAGCTTCTTCAGAAGCGTCGTCGCCACGGTCAAAATCAGTATCTGGTGAAGTGACGAGATACCCTAAGTCGTGGAACTTATGAAAATTCGAGGTTCCCCTACGGCAGGATTGCCCGTAAGCCGTGGAAGTTTTTGGGCGCCGGGCGCAGGGCCAACCTGATTAGCGATGGCGTTTCACACCCGTAGGGGTAGGAGTGGGCGAGCTTACAGCTGGGGCCTGCTTCTGCTACAGACGTAGTCGAAGTACTGGAGTCTTGAATGGACGGCGCATAGCGCACTCGTTGTTTCTCCAATCATCCTTGAACCTTTTACTTGGCGTAGTCAAACGCATCATCCGTTCCAGACGAACGTCTGACACCATGGCACTTGCGCGAAGAGTCCACATGCTACTCTAACGCCGCACATAATATTCCCAGTGGACAAAGGCTCTATCGTCTTCATCTTCACTTTCGCCGGCGAACAGCAAGATAGAAGCTTTTTACATGGAAGAAAAATCTGAATTACGTGCTTGCCTATCCAGGCGTGGCTTGTATTGGCTTTAAGTGGTCTTGACTAAATCTAAGAACTAATGGCGAATAGCCGTTCGCGCGGCGAGCTCCTCGGGGGGGTAATAGCATCCGGTACTATGGACCATATGTCTAGCGAATGGCCAGTGGCCTCTTTGAGACGCTCTTCAACGGATCGTGGCTCAAAGAGATAGTCTATATGCCCTTTGAGTTTCACCATGGCCTTTGCTTGGTGTGTAGAGCTTGCCTCTGTTTGTAACTACTGAGCCTGTTACTCGTCAAGCGGGTTCGTGATCGCGGAAGTGGACTCTAACCGCATTGATGTTAATGTGTCAGCGACACCACGTTCGGAAATGGGTTCGCTGCATGACGAGAGTCAGCATAAATAACAGGAGAGCTAGGTTTAGTCTCTTTGTCATCCATGAAGTTTGTGTCGCTTTCGTAGTCCACCATGTCATCAAGACTTTCCTCTAAGAGGGTGTTAAAAGTCTCGGACTTGGTGCGAGGCGTGGTCATGTGCGTGGTACTTTGATAAACAGTTCGATGTTTGTGCATTTCGCAAACCACTTGGAAGCAATGTGTCGATTGACGTTATGCGTAACATCAGTCTGATAGGTGAAAGTGTAACGGGGTTATACGATGCTTGGAACATCATATTGAATGTACATCACGGTTGAAATTTATATATTGCATATATATTTCAATACCGATCCTTTTTAAAGGGGTATTATAGATGAGTGATATTATAAGGGTATCGGTAATACCTTATACTATCGGTATCAGCTCCATAACTGATACAGTAATACTAAGTACAACATACACCGATGATTGGATGATTTCATATCCAGATTATAGACGACGGCATACAATAATTACTATGATAGTAATTAATCTAGTGTAGGGTACTTAAAGTAGTACTATTTATAAAATCTTGATGCATAAATAATCTCAATTATCATTTTGAGTCGAAGAGATAAAGTCAGTTTGGCTTATTTCTCTTGTGCACTTTGTGCGTTTGTTCCTTGAACCGTAATCATAGCTCAAACCTTTGCACTTTATGCGTTGGCTCTCTGAACCTTTAAGCTTATTGCTTGTTGGCTAGAAGTCCCTCTTAAGTTGTTTAAACGGGTAGACTTCGTAGTCGTTTAATTAGTATCCTTAGAACTAAGTGGCTAGATGTATCTCTAACAACTTCTTTAGAATGAAAAGATTTTTATTAGTATAAATATTTTTTATATAACTTATAGCCTTCAAAGTCTATCTTGAAAAACGACCTGTGTAGCTTCGCTACAATTGAAGCACTTTTAGTTCTAGTAGATAGCTACCTATATCTGATACAGCTCTCTTTTTCCTTTTAATTAAGCGTGTCGTTTAATTATATAGCTTATTCGGCTAACCAGTGTACGTTTGGTTCAGAGCACCTACACAGTGTAAGCAGGTGCTCCGAACCGAACTGACACAGTGTAATTAGATTATACTGTACTAGGGTGTGTAACCGTCGTTCCGACGGACATGGTTTTATGCTATTGATACATATATAGGGGTGTTCCCGTCGTGTCGACCGATAGGTGCACATATTTGACGCAGATCGTATATTGACTTAGGTAATTAATTAATATTAGAAATATTGTGTATGAAGGTCAATGTATACCTGTCGTTTCGAAAGTTAGGGTGTTCACCTGTCGTTTCGACGGACATGGTCTGCCTTTTGACCTGTAAACCCATCATTTAACGTTAGATAATTCGATTGACTCAGGGTAAAGATGGATATGAAGGCAATGTGTACTCGTCTATTCGTCAATTTTTCATTTGATCACCCGTCGTTTTAACGGTACGAAGTTGCATACATAGGCATCTTAAACGCAGCGATTTGCTAGGGTGTTTACCCGTCATTTCCGCGAATGTAGTATGCGAAGTCTACCAAAATAGTTTCTTTATTGAGTTTATATCACGTCGTTTCGATGGAACGCTGCGCGAAGTCGCCGCTGCTAGGGTGTGTGCCTGTCGATTCGACGGAAACGACAGCAAACTCTACGCTAATAGCATATTGTATTATTTTGGGTGTTCATCCGTTGTACCGACGGTGCAAAGTAGTATGTATATCGCAACAAATTGCTAGGGTATTTACCTGTCGTTCCGACGGATACCCCTACAGTAGATGTATACTTGTCAATCACTCTGCTAAATCAGGTAAATTAATAGTTATCAAAGTCAATGTGTATTTAGGCCAATGTAAACCCGTCGTTCCACCGGATACACATTAGCGAATTTCTGTAACGCGTTGATATACAGTCATTTGCTTGTAGATAATTCCTGCACGCTAGTAAATCGATGGACGAATGCATCATGTTTCATCGACCCACCTCTTTTATGGTGTTTACCCGTCGTTTTGATGGTGCAAAGTATAAAATGTTGGCGCGTCAAACGCCCCGATTTGCTAGGATGTATACCCGTCATTCAGACGGATATAGTGCGCAAGTCGACGCTGGGTATATACTGACCTTTAGTCATCTTTTTACCAATTTGGTTGACTACATTAAAATGATGATATAAAGGTCAATGTGTACTCGTCGTTTCAACGGACATGGTGACTAAAGTTTGCCTTTTGACCTTCGAATCCAACATTTTCCCTTACAATGTTAAGGTAAAGTAATGGGTATGAGATTCAATGTGCACTCGTCGTTCCGGCGGATAGTAGCGTGCCGACCGAATAGACAGATGTACTGTATGTATACAGGATCGTATGTAATTTATTCTATGTGTGTCAATCAATTTTTTATACACCTTTTTGCCTGTGTGCAGCTTTATGATAGTGCCCGTTGTTCCGACGGATAGGTGCGCGAATCTCCGCTGATAGAACCCTAGCCCACCATATATCTTAAAATAGGGATGCTCACTCGTCGTTCCGACGGACATGGTGAGCAACCATCTGCTAGATAATCTTCGTACTCACTTATTATTCTGGTTGAGTCAGGTAATTGCTACATATGAAGTCAATAAGTATGAAAGTCAACGTCTACCTGTCGACGCTGGTCAATGTGTATCTGTCGTTTCGCACGACCATGTGTACCCGTCGTTCCAACGGACACAGTAAGCGAAGTCGTCGTGTGATCTTCGTACCCATCTCTTTACTTCTATATATGCGGTTTAATAAGGTAAAGTTATCGGTATAAAGGTGGATGTAAGCCCGTCATGCAGAATGTCCGGTTGACTCAGATAAATGAATAAGTATGATGCACTACATTTGATTCGATTCGCTTATTGTAACTGCATCCACCTTAACCTGATCAATACGCTTGCTTTTGCCACGTTGAAGTGTATTAGTTGAGCCCTGAGTTTATGTTTTAAAAATGAAGTGAAAGCATGTGTCTCATCTAACATATTTAAGAAATGCTGTGTTTGATATTGCAATATGTAATGATGAATATGAACACGTATGTGTGCAATCGTTTTGTATATTAGTGTTATAGATAGAAGCACGACATATGGAGACTCTGTTATGGAGATCTGCACATGTAATAATTAATACAAATTGCATAATCAGCCATTGCAAAATGAGCCAAAAATGCAGAATCAGCCAATCCAAAATTGAAACAAAAACAGAATTTAGCCAATCCGAATGCCGGAAAAGGATCAAACGGACAGACAGACAGACAGACAGACAGACAGACGGACAGTAAAGTATTATTATATAGATACGTAGAGGGTGCCTCGTTACACTATATTTAGAGGCATCAATTAACTTAACCATTTATATTCTTACTTCAACTATATGTAAATTCTAATATGTATGTCGACTGCCTGTCCTACACTCATTGCGCGCGTTCATTCTCATTGACCAGCGCAGTGGCTGATATTTTGGCCAATATTACCCTACATCTCTAACTTCAAGGTGATGCATTAATAATATCGTAGAATAGTATCGGCTTAGATAATATTAAATAGTATCAACTAAAATAATTTTGTCGAAGTTGTGTCGGTAAGATAATATTGTCGAATTGTGTTAGCTAAGATAATATTGTCGGATAGTATCGGCTACGATGCTATTGTCAAATTTTATCATATTTACATTGACACTTTATGTTAGTGCCAATGTAATGCAAGGGAAAGAGCGTTGCAATCTTTTCGTTATCTACACCAGAAACAAAACGTTTATAATACTAGCGTTGTCAACTAAGCATCGTCTACTGCACTGCAAGGGGCATAAGAATGTAGCTAATTAAGTTATAATCTCTCACTCAGAGAAGAGCAATGGTCACACGTAATCCTAAAACTCGATCACATCCGGCAACTCTGGCAAGTTTGTCAGCTTTACACCGATCGACTTGCCCATTGACGGGGGTGGGGAGAAAAGTGGGCTTGCGCCTGTCAATGAGGTTTCAGCGTTTTCCTTCGAATTAGGCAATTGTGGGCCGACCATAGGCTCAGCTGAATTCGATATGGAGGGTGCCGGCGCCGGACCAGCAGCGGTGCCGAACGAGTTCATCGTGCTCAGTCCAGCTACGAATCCCATATTCGGGCGCATGAGCGCAGGCTGCAGCCCCGTGGGTCCTCCGTAGTTGTACGGAGCAAGGTAAAACGGAGGATAAGCACCAAAGGTAGCCGCCAAACCGTAGGCTGGCATGCTCTGCGGACAAGTCGGATATGATGGCACAAACGGTGGCGGACACATTTGGTATATTGGTGCCGGCATCGCCTGCGCGGCAACGGCCGCAACTTCAGCGGCAGAAGAAGAAATGACAGCGGGAGCGACAACCGGTACTGGAACAGGAGATGGAGCAGGGAAAGTAGGAGGTGCATATGCGCAGGCAGCCTGTTGTGTCGAAGCAGCTTCAGTCTGGACGGACGAAGTTGACGTAAAGGCTGGTGCTGGGGCTGCAACCGGCTGCTGCACTGTTTCGGCTGACTTTTCCACAACAACCAGCGCGTTCGAGATCTTAGCTTCGTCTGTGGCAGTAGCACGCTCGGCATCTCGCACTTCCTTCCGCTGGATACGTTCAGCTGGTGAGGTGTACTTCTCTTTCTTCTTAGACTTTTTCTCTCCCTTCTTCTCCGTACGTTTGCGCTCACGACGCTCTTCCTCTGCCTGATTAAACTCTGCCAGCTTCCGAACATCGGCCTCAGCCTGACGTTGTTTGGCCTTTTCGCGTTTTAGTTTCGCCTTCACCTCTCGACATTCCTTCTTCTTCTCGCGCTTCTCCTGCTCTTCGCGAGCCTTAGCTTCCTCACGAGCTCGCTGCTCTTCGCGGTGAGCCCGTGCTAGCTCGGCCGCCTCCAAAGTCGTACGTTCCTCCTCTTCCTTCTCCCTCAGTAGACGCTTCTTAGCACGACGTTCAGCGCGATACTTCCTCTTCAGCTGGCGCAGCTCTTCGACTTCTTCGGCCTCTGCCATATCAAATTCAATTCTTTCAGCATCTGCACTCCCCGCTTTAGCCTCTGCACACTCCGCTGTAGTAATTTGTGCAGAAATAATTGCAGCAGGAGGCACTGCCTCCTGATCCTCGTCCTCCATTTCTAATTCATCCTCACCACTAGCGTATCCTTTCGTCACACTGTTGCCTTTGTCGCTGTTGCTTACAAAGCTCTGTTTTTGGCTCTTGAAGCTGCATCGACTGCGGAGGCTGCTCCGGGGCTGGTTCGTGTCCTCCAGATCAGCAATGCCCTCAACTTCTTCTCCTATAATTGACTGCTCTTCGTCGTACAATTCCACGTCACTATTCTCACTGTCAACGAAAAGGCTAATGTCACTGAGGCCATGTCGTTTCTTCGGATGACGCGCGTCCTTGCGCATGCCGGCAAGCCTCGCGGCCGCCATCTCGGCGTACCGATCTCTGTTAGACTCGAGCTTCTGCGCCCGTCGCTTCATGTTCCTCTCATTCTTCTTCTTCGCTTCCCGTGCCACGAGGACCTCGTCCACAAAGTCTGCATCATCGTTTTCCTCGTCTCTTCCGGCACCTTTGACGACCACTGCTCCGAACCTGCTAGCACCTGCCTCGTCGAACAGAAATCTGTCAGTAGCCAGTGTTTTATTCTCTCTCTCACGTAAATCTAGAAGCTCTTTATCGAGTAGCACAGGTATCGAATCTTCCTGCACTTCGTACTTGTACGTTGTGTTCTCATTTCCATAAAGTCCCCAATCAACAGGTTCGTTCTCGTCATGAGTCAATTCCTCCAATGAATCGGCGGAAGCGTCCGAAGTGGTCCTAAAGAGACGATTACTGTTTAAAAAATTGCTCTGTTCCTCTGTGTCCATCAATTGGGATGCATTTACGACACTCCGGGCCATGGACGGGCCTGTATAAGCTCTGGGTTCACTACTCGCTGAAGCCTCGACGCTCTGAGTCCGTCGCCTCGACCCAAGATTGCCAACACTGTTAAGTCTCCTGTCTCGCCTACTGTGTACATCCATAAGCCCCATCCATTTGACCTTGTCGGCTGGACATGGAGCGACACATTGATAAGATTTCTTGTCTCTTGTCTCTATTGTAAAAGCATTCTGATACCGATGAAACCCCGTTTTGCCGTCCCAATCATTAATACATTCAAGTTGCTGGACACTCGATGGTTTTTCTGGGCGACTGTCGTAAGCCTTTCGACTCTTATAACTCCGTAACATGACGCGTTTGCGTTCATCCGCATCTAATTCCCACGTAGCGACACAATACCGGTCGTGCATCACTGGCATTTTAGCTAAACGTTTCTTCAAATTACCTTCCATAGCCACAATAGCCGACTCGGGCAAGGACACGACACTGCTTGTATTACTGGCACGCAATATATCCTCTGGGTCCGATGGCTGACGCTTATGCTTGCGACTGGCCAGAAATTTACGAATGCGATGCCGACCTGACGGCTCAGCCATTGACTTACTGGCTGACACTGATACGAGGGAGAAACGACTTCAGGAATGGGATCGATGTCCGTGTCTTTGAGTCGAGGCCTTAGGACGAGTACAGGATGAAGAATGAGAAAGGGGTTGTTTAAGATTAAAGAACTGAACTGGATATCTAATTATACAGGTTTCACTGATAATTTTGACAATTTAACTTTATTTGATCGTAGAATATACATATATATTGTAGACTAGATACTTCACAAGGACAATATAGACAACGTTACATTGGCAAAATGACGATGTCAAGGACGGAATGAAGTTGGAAACGAGGTCTACGATGTTGTCTTGCCAGATAATAATTGTTGATCTATAAACGTAGCGCTGGTTGCTGCTTCATGTAGAGAGAAGGTGACATGCGACATTTTGAATCAGGGAGGGCCAGCTGACGTGGAATTCATGCGAGTGCTTCGAGGTTCACCTCGTCTATGGTGGCTACAAGATTTTGCTCTGCTTTATAGCAACTAAATCACAAATGTCTGCTTCAGATATGCTGTACAGTGGTTCATTGTAGCAGTAATAAGCAGCGTGTGAGTAATACTATTCAGAAAATAAAAGTCCAGCTCACCGTCTCTGCGATACAAGAAAGGTGCAGCCAGACGAGCGCGATGATCCCGTCGCTATTCTATCGATTCCAACCTGACGAAGTAGTTGATCTCCACGGCCAAGTCAGACACGCATTGTACTGCCACACTGTCGTAAGAACGTACAACAAAATATACGGTCCAAATGATACCACTAGCGGCCTATCGCATAAGCACAGACGCAAGGCAGTTTATGCTCGAAATACCGTCGTACATACCCGTTTCATCCCGACCGTTAATTTTTACTGATAGAAATCCTTTGGGATGCTGAAAACCACGATATGTATGATACACGGACAACTACACATTCCTGTGTTTGCTCTTTCTAGATAGACTGGTGCTATTAATCTACAGCTTCGCACGCAAGTGCGTTAGTAAACTGTCAAAGCAGCTGGTCACTAGAGGTTCGGGTTCCGTAACACATAGTAAAGGCTCCGCTTGTGACGATCTGCCTGCACATTTCTGGCGGACTGTAAATCAGACCTACGCAGTACGCTCTGTGGTGAGTACTACGATCATCAATCCGTCGGTCTTTGCACTTACAGAGGTATCCATTACGGTATGTAGATCTAACTCAAAGTAGACGAAAGCATATTAGAACTTGGATAAACTATCAGGGTAACTAGCTATAAGAATTGATAAACGTGTGGTAAAATCCGTCGATGAGAAGACTAGTGAGCCTCACAGCGGGGCACGCCGTGATCCTTGTTGCCGGAAACAACCACCTCACTTATGTGTTCACTCAACTCTTGAAGCCCTCGCCAGAATTCAAATGTATTCGACTGACACTAAGCATGCATCGAAGAATTTCCTCCTGCTCTGCAAGACTCTGACTTATGGAGCGAGACGAATGCAACCGATTTGTAGGCTCTTCGTGGCTCAGATGGCTGCTAGGACGGCTCGAGCTAAGCGATGACCCCCGTCCAATACGTCTCTTGCTGTACTTTCGAGCAACACCGTACAGCATCCCGGCAGTCCTTGCGCGTGACTGTCGTCGAAGCTCCGACATTGGCACCATGTCTATCGTGTCGATAACCTCAGTGACCTCTTGTCTGTCACTCGACGTTTGAAAAAACTGCATCTGCTTTCGTGAATGACGTCGGCTCGTCGAGTATCCAGACATGGGAAGTTTCTTGCACAGTTTGGATTTAGAGCTTTTCGCTATTTCATCGAGAATTGCCACATCGTCGTCGATAACATCCAGAGTTGCTAGGAACGGCACATCGTCCATGTCCATGTTTTTGTCACCCCGGGAAGTCCATGACGACTGGGACGAAGACAGGGAACTGGCAAGTCTCGACCGCCCGGAAGCGTTAAGCGATGCCTTGCTGGTATCCTCCGATTCCGTTTCGGACCAGTTAGACTCGGACCTGTACGATGCAATTTCATCCCACCACTCCGATCGTGAATTGCTTGGCTTCGTTGTATTGCTCACCGATGTTTTGCGCAACTTGCAGGCATTGCTCTCAGAGCTTAGTGTCTTGACGCTGTCGGCATGTGTGCCTGAAGACACACGCTCTAGTTTCGATGCTTCGCTTCCTCGACGAATTGTTGACACGCACGCTGTGCAGAAGTTTGTCTTAGCTACTTGAAACACTCGTGACTTGTTGTTGACGTCGTGGTCGCGTGGAACCTTGCGAACGATAACACAGCGGTGGCAAAAGATGTCTCCGCAAAGCCGGCAATGGTAACGGCGGCGCGTTGCAGCGTTGAAGTAGAGTTGGCAATTCATGCAAGCCTTGCGTGAGTCCTTGGGTACCCAATTTGTCTTGCACATGATCCCCTGCTTCACAATACATTTCGAGTCGACAAAGAGGGACATGTCGTTGTAAATGCGCATGACCTTCTTATAGTTCTTGGACAGACCTGCGATGTCATTATCACTCATAAAAAACAGCTGTGTCGCGTCCGCAGAGAAACCCGCGGGGCGGACGATGGTGACGCTATGCATCTTGATGCGCTTGATTCTCAAAGTGAGATACAAATCGGGGCATTCATCGATATCCACCGGTAGCGTCACTCGGACGCCTACATTGCGGCCGAGCTGATCCTTAGTATATGTTAAGTACTCCAAAAAGCAATTGTCTCGCTTGCGGCCGAATGATGAAGGTTGAAGGCACGTCCATTTGATACCCAAATATTCATCTTTCTTGCCAGACTTTTTCGTGTGGATGTTCTTGAGCACGACTGCATCGACCACGTAGCCGTACATGAATTGATTACACTCAAAATGCTCCTGGGACGTTTCAGCGTAGTGGAAATCCATAAAGTTCCGGTAGTTGCCTTGAATATAGCCGTAGAGACGGAACTCGCTTTGCGAAATTCCCTCAGGTGTTTCCTTTCGGATAGCGGTCAAAGTGCCTTCCGTGCCAACAGGAGCCCATGGTGCATTGTAGATCGGGTAGGCTCCTTTTGCTTCGTGTCGTTCGTAGTCCGCCAAAGCGTCTTGGACGATTTTCTCGACCTGAATCTCATAGCCTTGAATCTGTTCGTCCGTGAGCTCGATGTTCGGAAAGAAATCTTCGGGCAATGGGAACGTCTTTGTCTCATTTCTGTTGGTGCGGCGACCCATAGACAAACGATATCTGAGGTTAAAATTATTGGAGACCGTGGCAGTTGTAAAGTTAACTTTCCTACCGAGATAAGGTGTGCCGGCGCCTAGTTGAAAGCATGGAGGGAAAATCGGAAACTAAACTTATCTTTGGTCGATTGCACCCAGCTCTCAAGATCCCACTCGAGAGCTGCAAGGTCATTAAAAGAGCAAGCCAAGCGGGCACTTCTTCACCGAGAGACAGATGGACCGGTAGATCCAGATGGGGCATTCTGCCGACGATGTGCGCTTCAGAAGAGTCGCAACATTATCGTGACAACATAGTCAGAGCAGAGAATGCTTTGTCAGGTAGGTCCAATACGTTTGTCGGTAGAAGTAGCAGAAGCTTTTGCCGAGTTCGAGGGGCTTCAGTGAACCCGTTTTGCCTTTTTTCAGTCACGAGCGAGACCTTCACGTGCTAGGGTTACTAGGTGACTTTCCAGCACGTCAGGTACTTCGTAATTGCATTAGTGCTCGGCTTTTTGTTCTAGATGGTTCGCCCGTTGATAAGCTGGTTAGTACTGTAGCGAGCACGAGTTTTCGTGGTCTCTTCTTGTTTAAACTCGTACATTGCATGGAGGTGTCGGTAGCGGCTACGGTAAAAAGCCAATGCGCTTTTGGCATCGTGATATAGCGAAGTTTGTAAAGCTACGTAATGGTTGAAGCGAAAGAAACTTAATTGGCAAGCCTACACAAGTACCCTTGGTTTTGTGTAGGCTTGCCAATTAAGTTTCTCGTGGTTTTTCACGTCAGCCCTTAGATTTGCGCATCGAGCACCATATCGTTTCATCCACGCATTATCCTATAATGTTTGGATGGATTCATATCTACTCCGACAGGTGTGGTGACATGAATTTTGACTGTCCTCAATTTATTCGCCGAGCCGATGTCATCAAACTTGCTCGTTTGCTTGTTTCTCGCTGTTACACAGCTCAGTCCAATCTAAAACTTTTGAGGCCGATATTAGAAAAAGTCTCCTTATTGGATGAGCAAGTAGGCGATACATATACTTTCAAAACATTACGTAAATCGATCGATTCAAAGGTCATGGTTTCAGGGCCGTATGTGAAGCATGCGGACTACAAGCAATGCTTGGGTTAAGAGATGACGATAGTATCCTGCTGTGTAGTTTTACAGGGTCTCAAGTACCCTACTTAGAATTGTGTCACCTCATCAGCACCATTTACAGAATTTCGTAACTATAACAATTCCTCCAGGTGGAAGTTCCCCATCATGGGGCCAAGGTTAAAATAGGGAGTCCTGTCTCTCTGCTGCGTGCGCCACGAGAGGCAACGCAGCGTGCGAACCTGACGAGAAGCAATAGGCACCAAGTCTCGATGTGTGGGGCAGCATCGAACACCCTCCACCCAGGCATGAACGAGTTTGTCGCCAGCCCGTTCGCCGAGCGCGAGTTCTGTTCTCACAAAGCGAACTCCCTTAGAACGTGATTTCGTGTGTCTTGATCCAGGAACGGAGCTGCACGTCAGGGATAAGTCAGGCTGGCCTGTCTGGGAAAGCCGGTTTGGTACCTTGTCTCAAAACTTTCAAGGCGTCACCTGGCTCCCTGCATGTGCTCGGATTTGGTCAAATGGTCCCACGTGCCCTTTTGGAGTATTCCTCGTCAATTCCATCGAGTTGAGCCAGTAGAATGAGCTAGTGCATAGGAGAACGACGTAGTCATGGCAGAAGATCAGGGGATTTCCTCACAGACATATCAAAACAATCAACAATTCCTGTAGGTGTAAAAGTTGACGTTACTGAAGTGCCCCTTCTGACGTTACAGTTCATATAATCCGCGTGGACTATGTTTGTACCAGTGTTTGTGGCCAGGGGATAACACCTTTGTTCACCTTTCTCTCTTATAAGACTGTCCCAGAAAAAAAACCACTTCGAGAAGCATGAATTTGAGGATGTGAGCAACGTTTCAACTCGGTCTTTTGCTCGAGACGCCAGGATTCGCATTGAGTAATCCAATACAGGCTTAAGACGAAGAGGAGGTTTCGGGTAAGTATTAGTCGTCAAGCAGCACGCATAAAAGCTTCGACGCGCACAAACTGAGATTTGAAAATCGTCGGATGGTCGCAGACGATGTCAGGCAACTTATGTCGTTTGGCACAGACCTCTAGTTTCACGTACATTTTGAAAGGAGCATGCTACAACTTCTGGCAAGCCGCCTTTCATCGTGCTAGGTAAGATTAAGTAAAAACTAGCAGGTAATTTTTGGTCAGCACATGCACCATTCGTCGTTAGGCCTATTGTCACCATGATTACTGTCCCGTAAGACGCGATGATGCTACTGCGGTCTCATTTGGCCTTTGACGTGGCAGCTCAAAAGTCTATCTGTTGACAGCCACGAATATTATTGTTTGCTGTGCATATTTTTCAGGGAATAAAAAGCATAGAGCTATACGAAAAGCTAGCCCACGTACAGAAGAATTAGCGACGACTTTGTCATGGCACCGAGTTTTAGGATCTTTTATCACGCAATAGTCTTGCAACAAAATAATTGCCCTTACGTGCGAGTAGTATTGATACGACACGTGTTACGGAAGCAGTGGTAGCATGAAACCCTCTCTATGGTAACAGTTCGCTTCCACACTTGCAATTGTTGGCACGCACAGAAACGTTAATGGCATGCCTTATGATGATTCTATACCAAAGACTTGACACACCTGAAGCGTGACTGCCGGAGAAAATCAACACGAATTTCGTTTTGCAACTGGATTGTGTTTCGACCTACGGCGATTTCACGCACGTAGTAAGCGTTAGCATTACAGCGAAAGCCGTCGGGCCACGAAATCGATACCTGATCTGTATAGAGGAGACCTTTAACGAAAGGCGCGGACATGGCAAGTACATGCTGCAAAGACGACATCTGCATTGCAGTGTTGCAGCATTGCACGCGATGGACGGGCCAGTTACAATCGCGCACAGCGCTCGGCACGAACATCACTAGAGATCTGACACATTGCAAAAGGAGCAAAAGTTAATGCCAAGCAGCGACGCTACGTTAAGAATGAATGGCAGCAACATCAAATTCCCTCTACCGGATGGGTATTTCCCGCCGGTAAAGCTCACCCCAGATGCGATAGAGGTCTATGAGCGACGCGTAGAGATCATTATGAAAAATGCATTGGCTGAATACAACCTGCACGAGGCCATGGGAACCGTACCGGACTACGGGTCACGGTGGAACGTTGTAGGGAATATTGAACACCTTACTGCAATTCGTGAGGTGGACCCGTCTAGGGCAGTTGAAGCATCACGCGTCTTTGGACGTATTGATGGTGACTATCGGAACTATATCGACTTCCACTATTCGGTGACAGCTCAAGAGGTCTTTGCAGTAAACCAGTTCATGTATGGATATGCAGTGGATGGTGCGGTACTGTGCAATATCCATACGAAAGAATCACAAAAACCCCATTTGTACCTGGGCATGAAATGGGTATGTCACCAGCCGTCAACGCTCTCGCGCAAGCGCGACATGTGCTTTCTCGAGTATCTTGTCTACACTAAAGACCTTCAGGATCGAGATGTTGGCGTCCGAATCACGCTACCATTGCTTCTGGACGAATGTCCGCCACTATCGGACAAGTTGAAGACGAGGCGCATTCATGCACATACGGTGACTATTGTTCGCCCAACAAACGACAGCTCCGACACCACTCAACTTTTCATGACAAGTGAAATTGACATGTACAAAGGGTCGCACTCCACGTCTGTTGGGTCGTTTAAGAAGCTCATGACGACATTGAGTTCCATGGCTTTGTTTGCCGACTCTAAACGCATTGCTGTGCATGGTATGCTGGATCGCCAAAGCTGGGCGCAGAAGAAGGCGTGTGCTAACTGCACCGTATGCGATCGCAAGTTTTCAGCCACGCGACGACGTCAGCACTGCCGTCTCTGCGGTGAGGTGGCTTGTCGGCGTTGCATGTTGATTCGTGACGCCCCTACAGTCGATAGCAACGCTGCTTCGACGTCACGTACTTTCCAGGTAGTGAAAACTGTGTTCTGTAAAGCATGTATGGGCAAGGTCCGTGGTTCCGACATCAAGAGTATCGCTGGAACTGACAGTCAAGAGGAAGGCATGTCTGACGCCGAGTCCGCGGGCTGGTCGATGGACAAAATTGTTGGCAGTAAGGGCAACTTAGCAATGTGCAGTGAACCGTCAATTGCGTCGCTTTCACCTACTGCTGTCTTTACCTTTCCTCAAAAAGATACTGTCGGGGATTCTGAGAGTGAAGCGAATTTTGTTGAAAGCGTTAGTCTGCTACAAAACAAGTTCTTAAGCACCGTAGAATTGGAGGTGCAATCTGAAACAAAGACTAGCGTTTCGTCTTCACTAGATGACGAGACCGAAGTCGAAGTCATGGAATCTATTGCTCCCAAGATGATAGATCTGCGCCACCTCCGAACGATGGCAGGAGCGGAGCGTGTCGTACAAGAGGTGGAGGAAGAAGAATTTCGGACAATGCGAGAGTCTCTTGCAGCATTGGACTTTAAAGCTGTTCGCCTCGTGAATTTACCGTCATATGCAGAGAACGAGTCATTTTCAAGCAGCAGTAGCAGCAAGCTGCCACTTATGGAGGAGGACGAGGACGATGATGATGATGATGAAAATGATGAAGAGAACGATAATGAGGACGATGTTATTGAGATTATTGATGAGTCGAATCAGATTGTATCTACTACACGGCAGGTCGTGTCATCTCCATTGGAAGGATCGCCATTGGATGGACCAATTGAGTCGTTGTTTGGACCTGCTCGATCAAACGTGTCGATCGATCAGCGGCTTCAGGAGCAGGAGGTGCTATTGAAGCGTTTAGTAATGGCGGCGAACTCCTCTGCCGGATACTACCCACCAAGTGCCCGCAGCTGACAAATTTGAATACATTTGGGTTAAGCTTGTCGAGCGTTATTCATTGTTTTTGTTGGTGCATCCAATTTTTGTTAACAACCATAACTTTTGTCTTGGAGAGTGACTACTTGCAAACGGTGGCGTTACTTCGTGTTACAATTGCAGCATTGCACGCTTCTAGTGCGTCGTCTTTCTCTTTAGGTCCACGTGCATCAGAAAGACAACATTGCTCCTACTTAATCTATTACATCTTCGCCATACAAAACAAAACTTTATTGTACCATGGCTGCATCACGTCTCATTATGCACAGACATACAACTTTTCTCCACAGCTTTCTTGGAATTGGTTCTTATGCAATTTCAATTGGTTAATACAAGACTTAGTCCCTAAAGTTCAAGCAACTCTGACTGCCAAGATCCCGGTACCTTTTCGACACGTACATGTCTAAAAGATCAATCGGCCGGGCAAGGTTCCTGGGATCCGTTATAAATTCGCACCAAGTGCGTCTCGACAGCTCTGAGGTTTCGCAATTGTGGGCACACAAGGTGTTGCCGTGTCGAGCATTAATGGACGAGTTAGCATCCTCGATTTGCAACTGCAACAGGGTGCGTCTCTTGGCTAAGGTCGTTAAGCAGCGACACCTGTCCATCCGGCAGTGGTTTACTGGCGAGTTGAAATAGCATAAGAACCAATTCCAAGAAAGCTGTGGAGAAAAGTTGTATGTCTGTGCATAATGAGACGTGATGCAGCCATGGTACAATAAAGTTTTGTTTTGTATGGCGAAGATGTAATAGATTAAGTAGGAGCAATGTTGTCTTTCTGATGCAAGTGGACCTAAAGAGAAAGACGACGCACTAGAAGCGTGCAATGCTGCAATTGTAACACGAAGTAACGCCACCGTTTGCAAGTAGTCACTCTCCAAGACAAAAGTTATGGTTGTTAACAAAAATTGGATGCACCAACAAAAACAATGAATAACGCTCGACAAGCTTAACCCAAATGTATTCAAATTTGTCAGCACTAGCCGGTGGTGGGGTTCTGCTTTCATTTTTTATGTTGTAACCAGGTAGCATACAATTCCGCAAATTTCTCCCGTTGCGCTGAAGCTGTCTGTGGCAGTCTTAATTGAAGTCTGACCATGAAAGGAACTATCTTTTTCCTCTTCAAATGCTTGAACAACCTGTGTAGCTTCTTTTCGTTTTCTTTCTTCAGATATTCCCCCAGTTTTGCATCCGTAATCTTTCTGAGATTGAAACTGGAAAAAAACATACGGTACAAATTAACGAATCGTTCTTCAGATGTCGAAGAGACTTGTGAGGCTTCGTATCCGCCGCCTGAAGCGGTTTTCGTGTTTCTGGTGTTATTGATGGACTGATGAAGTGGTGTCCCATCCGAAAAATGGTTAGTTGTAGTAGCAGAAATGGTGCTCAAAGCCATGAGGCGAGTGACAGCAATGGCAATGAGCACTAAGCAGGAGTAAATCATTGTTTTGAGCTGAGCGTGTAAACTTGCGAACTGGTCATACTTAAAGGGTGAAAAGCAATTATCTATCGCACACCCGGACCTCTGTCACAAAAGGTCTTTACTGGCATAAACGGGTCATATTACATGTAAAAAGATACTCTAGCGTAGTCACACCAAAAGACGCCTCAGGAGTTGTATCATTGGAGGAGGCATTGTCTTAGCATCAGAGACTTCCCACCAACGTAGTACTCTGTATATCACACCGAATACGCGTTGGTTGTGGCCGAACTACCTGAGAGATGACGTTGCTGCGAGTGGGTCTTCTGCGCCTACCTCTTTAGTAAAAAAGGGTCTCCTAAAGAGAAAGACGACGAAATAGAAGCGTGCTGCAATTGCAACACGAGGTAACGTATTCACTCTCCAAGTCAAAAGTTATGATTGTTATCAAAAACTAAATGCACAAGCAAAAAAACAATAAATAACGCGCGACGAGCTTAAACCAAATGTATTCAGATATGTCAGCACTAGCCGGTGCCGAATGTCTGTCCCTGAAGGACCTTCAGGATCAGAGATGACCTCTAGTGAAGGTGTATTACTGAAGTCATAGTTTACACAAGCAAGGAAAATTCCTCTAGAATATTTACACAAAAGACGCTCCAGGAGTTGTATCATTGGAGGAGGCATTGTCTTAGCATCAGAGACTTCCCACCAACGTAGTACTCTGTATATCACACCGAATACGCGTTGGTTGTGGCCGAACTACCTGAGAGATGACGTTGCTGCGAGTGGGTCTTCTGCGCCTACCTCTTTAGTAAAAAGGGTCTCCTAAAGAGAAAGACGACGAAATAGAAGCGTGCTGCAATTGCAACACGAGGTAACGTATTCACTCTCCAAGTCAAAAGTTATGATTGTTATCAAAAACTAAATGCACAAGCAAAAAAACAATAAATAACGCGCGACGAGCTTAAACCAAATGTATTCAGATATGTCAGCACTAGCCGGTGCCGAATGTCTGTCCCTGAAGGACCTTCAGGATCAGAGATGACCTCTAGTGAAGGTGTATTACTGAAGTCATAGTTTACACAAGCAAGGAAAATTCCTCTAGAATATTTACACAAAAGACGCTCCAGGAGTTGTATCATTGGAGGAGGCATTGTCTTAGCATCAGAGACTTCCCACCAACGTAGTACTCTGTATATCACACCGAATACGCGTTGGTTGTGGCCGAACTACCTGAGAGATGACGTTGCTGCGAGTGGGTCTTCTGCGCCTACCTCTTTAGTAAAAAAGGGTCTCCTAAAGAGAAAGACGACGAAATAGAAGCGTGCTGCAATTGCAACACGAGGTAACGTATTCACTCTCCAAGTCAAAAGTTATGATTGTTATCAAAAACTAAATGCACAAGCAAAAAAACAATAAATAACGCGCGACGAGCTTAAACCAAATGTATTCAGATATGTCAGCACTAGCCGGTGCCGAATGTCTGTCCCTGAAGGACCTTCAGGATCAGAGATGACCTCTAGTGAAGGTGTATTACTGAAGTCATAGTTTACACAAGCAAGGAAAATTCCTCTAGAATATTTACACAAAAGACGCTCCAGGAGTTGTATCATTGGAGGAGGCATTGTCTTAGCATCAGAGACTTCCCACCAACGTAGTACTCTGTATATCACACCGAATACGCGTTGGTTGTGGCCGAACTACCTGAGAGATGACGTTGCTGCGAGTGGGTCTTCTGCGCCTACCTCTTTAGTAAAAAAGGGTCTCCTAAAGAGAAAGACGACGAAATAGAAGCGTGCTGCAATTGCAACACGAGGTAACGTATTCACTCTCCAAGTCAAAAGTTATGATTGTTATCAAAAACTAAATGCACAAGCAAAAAAACAATAAATAACGCGCGACGAGCTTAAACCAAATGTATTCAGATATGTCAGCACTAGCCGGTGCCGAATGTCTGTCCCTGAAGGACCTTCAGGATCAGAGATGACCTCTAGTGAAGGTGTATTACTGAAGTCATAGTTTACACAAGCAAGGAAAATTCCTCTAGAATATTTACACAAAAGACGCTCCAGGAGTTGTATCATTGGAGGAGGCATTGTCTTAGCATCAGAGACTTCCCACCAACGTAGTACTCTGTATATCACACCGAATACGCGTTGGTTGTGGCCGAACTACCTGAGAGATGACGTTGCTGCGAGTGGGTCTTCTGCGCCTACCTCTTTAGTAAAAAAGGGTCTCCTAAAGAGAAAGACGACGAAATAGAAGCGTGCTGCAATTGCAACACGAGGTAACGTATTCACTCTCCAAGTCAAAAGTTATGATTGTTATCAAAAACTAAATGCACAAGCAAAAAAACAATAAATAACGCGCGACGAGCTTAAACCAAATGTATTCAGATATGTCAGCACTAGCCGGTGCCGAATGTCTGTCCCTGAAGGACCTTCAGGATCAGAGATGACCTCTAGTGAAGGTGTATTACTGAAGTCATAGTTTACACAAGCAAGGAAAATTCCTCTAGAATATTTACACAAAAGACGCTCCAGGAGTTGTATCATTGGAGGAGGCATTGTCTTAGCATCAGAGACTTCCCACCAACGTAGTACTCTGTATATCACACCGAATACGCGTTGGTTGTGGCCGAACTACCTGAGAGATGACGTTGCTGCGAGTGGGTCTTCTGCGCCTACCTCTTTAGTAAAAAAGGGTCTCCTAAAGAGAAAGACGACGAAATAGAAGCGTGCTGCAATTGCAACACGAGGTAACGTATTCACTCTCCAAGTCAAAAGTTATGATTGTTATCAAAAACTAAATGCACAAGCAAAAAAACAATAAATAACGCGCGACGAGCTTAAACCAAATGTATTCAGATATGTCAGCACTAGCCGGTGCCGAATGTCTGTCCCTGAAGGACCTTCAGGATCAGAGATGACCTCTAGTGAAGGTGTATTACTGAAGTCATAGTTTACACAAGCAAGGAAAATTCCTCTAGAATATTTACACAAAAGACGCTCCAGGAGTTGTATCATTGGAGGAGGCATTGTCTTAGCATCAGAGACTTCCCACCAACGTAGTACTCTGTATATCACACCGAATACGCGTTGGTTGTGGCCGAACTACCTGAGAGATGACGTTGCTGCGAGTGGGTCTTCTGCGCCTACCTCTTTAGTAAAAAAGGGTCTCCTAAAGAGAAAGACGACGAAATAGAAGCGTGCTGCAATTGCAACACGAGGTAACGTATTCACTCTCCAAGTCAAAAGTTATGATTGTTATCAAAAACTAAATGCACAAGCAAAAAAACAATAAATAACGCGCGACGAGCTTAAACCAAATGTATTCAGATATGTCAGCACTAGCCGGTGCCGAATGTCTGTCCCTGAAGGACCTTCAGGATCAGAGATGACCTCTAGTGAAGGTGTATTACTGAAGTCATAGTTTACACAAGCAAGGGAAATTCCTCTAGAATATTTACACAAAAGACGCTCCAGGAGTTGTATCATTGGAGGAGGCATTGTCTTAGCATCAGAGACTTCCCACCAACGTAGTACTCTGTATATCA